ATGATACATCTTTAATTACCTTTAGTGCCAGTATTTAGTTTCCATAAATAAAATCCTGAAATAAGTTCACTTCTTCTACTTGTAAACACTTATCACCTACACTATGGATGCTTTGAAGAAACAGTTGGACGAAATGAAGGAGACTTTCACCTACCGCATGAAGGACTTTCAGAAGGATTTGCAAAAGGGTAACTCAGATACGGCAAGTCCATCAAGCAGACTGGCATCTGACTTTGCGGTTTTCCGAACATTTGTTATGACCTCACTTGAATGTCTGCAGAGTCAGATGGAGCTTATGTCCCGCCTTGCTGACCAGATGGAATCAAGAAGCCGACGGAAGATTCTTCTAATACATGGTGTGCCCGAAACAAAAAATGAGAATACTGCATCTCTTGTTGCTGAAACACTAGCAAAGCACCTTACAGTTCCTGCGTTGACTCCTGACTCTTTCTCTAAATGTCATCGAATGGGCCAAGCCAAATCTGACAAACCCAGAGTCATTTTGATAAAGTGCCGGGACCACTTAATTAAGTCTAAGATGTGGCATGACAAGAAAGGCTTGAAGAATACTGGTCTGACACTGTCTGAGTTTCTTACTAAGCCTCGCCATGACGCTTTTATGGCTGCCCGAAAAAAATTTGGGATAAAGCAGTGCTGGACTAGAGATGGCTGTGTATATGTCATGGATTCTACCGGCAATCGTCACAAGGTTTTCACAGTTGGTGAGCTGGATGCCATTCCTGGAGAAGGTTCTCCTGTCTCCACTCCCAACGACGTTATAAGACAGGATGTGACTCCTACTGTGCCCCGGTCAAGACCCAAGCGTAACCTCCGTAATAAGTAATCCCGGCATGTATTAATTCTTCTTTTCTATTTGTTTGTTACGTGTTATGTGTTAAGGCTTCTTTATAATTCGTTTCTTTGTAATCCACGAGTTATGTATAGTGTTTTTTTTTTTTTGTTCTCATAGTGTAGCGTTTTACCCTTATCACTTATTTTCATCAATAAGTAGCAATAATAGGGTGAACTTTGGTCTAATGCCCGTTCTGTTCGGCTCGTTCATATTATATACGTAGCTTATACTTGAAGATGAGTGTCAATTGTTATTCT